ATTCATGAGCTGTCATATACAGGAAAACATAGGAAAAAATTATCACGCATTGTTCAAAGTCAGGCATTCTTCGTAAATCACGGGCTGTTCGTGTTCATATTCATAGATCACGCCATTGACGTAGAACTGTTCATTACATGCCATAAGGACAGATAAATTAACCATCGCATCATCTCATCATTGCGCTGAGAATTTCAAATGCTATTCGGTTTTCTGTGATCTTTCCATGCGCTAGGCTTTTTTGGCGTGATCGCAGTCACACCCCCTGATCCATTTGGAATTACATTTGCACACCAGGAGTAGAAAATGCACATGTTACGTGTATCATTATAATACAAGTGAAGTTTATTTCTACATTTTAAAATAGCTTTACTTAAGTATATCTAGGACTAAAGCGAGTTTCCCTTGCAAAATCTATAACACATCAACAGTCACATACCACCGAGTTTGCGCGGCCTGTGGATAACAAACACTCCGGTATATAATTGAACAGAACCAAAAAATATGCGAGTCAAAAGTAGATGCAAAAACAAGAATAAGAAAAATAAAGTACTCAGTCTGCACAGTCTGCATGGTCTGCACGGTCTGCGGTCTGCATGGTCTGCGTTTTGGGGTGACCGACGTCGGAACTGGGCCTAAGAAAGTAAAGTACAATAAGATTACGTGATAAGCGATGTAACACGGTACAGACACCATCCTTGGAGACCATGGGCAGTTAGTGGGGACAAGGGAAAGTCGAAACCACGGGAAAAATAACAAAAAAAGGTGAACTGATCGAATCCAATCGTTCGATTATACGTTCGATCGGCTTCGATGAAGGTCGATTACCGAACAGTGCGATCAGTAACGTCGGGAATATTGCACCAATCCTGTATATTGCAATCAATCTTACTTTCCGGGGTTACATTTAACTTTAGTTTAGTAAAGTGACCCATTGTACATAAATTTGTTTTAAAGAAATCGTCCTTTTTCTGTGTGTGCGATAACCTAATGGCCGTTGAAAGTAATTTTCTGTCGGTCTACGATTTCCCTGACCGAGTTTTTCTCAAACACAAATCCAAAACGACCAGTGATTGTTACGTTTTCGGATTTCTGCGGCGTAGTGTGGACGCAAAACATTTGGTGCGTTTTCACAGTGAAACCTCCGTTCTCAAATTCCTCCGGCGTACTGTGGGGCCGACCTTAAATCCTCGTGAACATATGCTCGCACTTTTCAATAAGACATGAACTCTTATGTTCCCTCTAACGAATCCCTCCCGAGCAAATCCGCTGCTGATATTAAAAATATCAGACATCCCTAGCGGTTATATAAGTTCTATATATAACACCTTGCAAAATATAGGGGGTTGAAACGAACAAATTTTCAATCGATGGTGGAAATAAAACCACGGTGGAATCCCGATTTTTTGAACCCCCAAGGGAATTAAACGAAAATCGGTTTGAAAATTCGAGAAATCGGAGGAGAGTAGAAATACTCCTTGTCGCTTCGTGCCAATGAATGAGTTCCGTTTGTAGGGGCCATTAGCCTAATGCAGACTTAATTATAGGGGCAACCTTATAGAATGCTGGGGGTACCCCTGCAATGGACTACTATCCCATCCAGTGGGGAGGGGGGAGGGGTAGTAGCCAAACTCCTCGACACTTGTGCTTGAAAGGCTTCGCTTTTTTATTTCTTCGCCTTCATTTGCCACAAGTTTGATTTTTAATTGCTGAGCTGAGAAGTTGGGCCTTTGAACAAACAAAAGAATTGCTGAAACGCATATCCCTGGCCATGCGCAGTCTCGTTGACAGAGTCATTCTCATTTTAACTTTTTCTTATTTTCTCTTCTTATTTGATCCAAATTAGTAATCACTATAAATCACTAAGGATGGCTGCCCAGTCTTATTAGCCCATTAAGGTTATTTCGGGCAGCCTTGTACTCTTTTTATTTTAACTTATTTTTGTTCATCTAATTTGCAATTTCTATGTTGAGTATAAATAAAGTTGTTGTTGTTGTTGTTGTTGTTGTTGTTGTCATAAAATGTTGCAGCTAAAAAGTCAGTGAAAACAGTGGAAATAAATACAAGTGGCTTTGCCTCAGTCATTTGCATGGTATTTTGTGACTGTTTGAATTGATTAAACTAGTCGTTTTTCCAACGCATCGTTGAAAGATGGAGTGGGAGGAGAGGCTGACAACAGGTCCACCTGAGTAATCAACGTTTGAGTTACTTTCGCCTGTATGAGAAATTAACGAGGGGACACATTGTGCATGCCTTGCATGCCTATGTTTCTGATAGCTATTATGGGATGCTTAGGGGGCAAATTAGAATGTCTTTCCCACTGAGCATCCCATAATAGCTGTTTGAAACAATAGAATTCAAAATGGCTGCCATATCGCTGAAAAGGTCCTTTGTTCAATATCTGAACCCCTACAGACACTGCTACACTCACTCTTTTTGAAATATCAACTCGAGAGCTCTGTACAGGGACATTATTTAACCACTGATCACTGTACTCTTTGAAATCTCTATTTAATTTACAGTCGGAGTGGGGTACTGGTTTTTTGAACCCTCAATTTTTCACAACACTTGATTATATTTGCTCCATAAGCAAAAAAGTTAGGAGAAGTTTACACTTGATTTTGTGAATCCCCAATTTCTCAAACCAATTTCCGTTCCCCTAGATGGTTGGAAAAATCAGAATTACACGGCACATGTATGTTGTATTTAAAGTCATATTTGGCAAGGCTTTGATGCCATTAATTTAAATATTTCTTTGGTTTTAATTTACAGACTTCTTAATTTACCAAGTCCTTTAAATATTTTGCCAAAGAATGACATCGTCTCACATTGAGAGCATTTCCTCATCCAATATTTTGTATCTTAGGGGAATCAAAACTAGCAGACAGATGATCCCATGCAGATGTCATCTTTCTCTGATCTACCATTTGGGTGGCCATCCCTCATCTTTCTTCAGTTTTGACGTTGACATGTTATTTTGTTCCCAACACAAATGACTGTCTCCTACAAATAATAAAAAAATGAAAAAGAAANCCCCCCCCCCCCCATTCCGGGAATAAAATACAATAATCAAAAGACTAATTAAAACTGCTTACAACAAAAATATACCGAGCCTAGCAGCACACACTGGTGCTCAATTTGTGAATCTCAGAGTTTCTACAGAAAGTCGTATACATACTCTCTGATTTTATCATCAGCTCAATTTTGTGCATTTTATGATGTTTCTGGCAGATAGGTAAATTTTGTCAAAGGGATCGGATCTGCCAAAAACATAAAAAAGGAAAAGGGCAGCTACATGAGCCAAGGCATCACACCTCCAGATTGACTGAGCACTATTAATACTGAATGTGTCAATGCATCTGAGTGGTGTTAAAGTTAGCTGTTTTCTTTTCTGTTCAATAGCAATTATATACAGCCAATTTAAATTTCCACATGGAAATGCATTTAAAATAGATTATCATCTTTAAGTTAAACAACTCTTCCATAATAATTCATTAAGTGCATTCAAAGTCTCACTGTTTGCATAAAGAACTTACCTGTCATGAACTGAAATTCCACTTTTCAGTCACCTCCTTTCAAAACACATTTATGCAGAATATGATCTCCATCGACTTCTTTCAACAACCACTCCACCACCCTGTTGTATTCTTCTATATAAATCAATGTATTGGGCAGCCTTTGTTGTCAATGGCACAATAAAATCCCTGCAAAAGTCTCGCTTTTGAAGAGGCTTTTTATTTGTGGGTAAAAAATGATTAAGGAAGCTCAAAGCAAAATCAAAGCAGTTGTTGCTGTGTTCATCATATCTAGAGTAGGGAAAATAGAAAAATAATTGAAAACCAAGATCAACGACAATAAAATACTTTGTTTACAGTGTAAATTCCACAAGATCTGATTGGACAAAGCAAATCGAGTGCTACAACACTGGATAAGGTATATACAGGTAATTTACAAACCATAGACTAGAACAAAACAAAGTCAAGCTACCATGTCAAACCTGTTGTAACATTTTATAACTCAGTCTGTGACCAGTGATTAATATAATAGAACTGTAAATTAGTCATCCAATAAATTTTGCATTTGCTGTGTCTGTAGTGTTATCACTTGCATTTGCCACAATTACATGTATCACCACAGGCTGTTTTTTATTTTGTTTTTTTTTCTTTTGCCCCAATAAAGCGCAAAGTTATTAATTGGGAAGAGAAAAATAAACAAAACTAAGTAAACACATTTCTGGTCTATTGTTAAATTTGATGGATCCTGATATTGCCCTTAGAGGAAAGACTGTCCTTTCAAAATTTCACAGTGACCAACAGTTGCCCTTTATTGAACCATTGCTTCTCCTTGAGAATTTACTTTGCTGCCAACTGTTCAATTTTCTGGACAACCTTTCAGCCTCAGGCTTTATCCTCTAACAAATCAGCCACGCCTTCCTAAAGGGATTCATCTGCTATGTATCCACTACTACTGAAGAGTTTTTTCACTATTTCATCTTTTCTCAAAAGTTGCATTCCCATCATCATCATCATCATCACCATCGTCATTGCCATCGCCATTGTCATCGTCATCGTCGTCGTCGTCATCGTCGTCGTCATCATCATTGTCATCGTCATTATTGTCGCCATCGCGATCACTGTCGTCATCATCATTTTCATCAGTGTGATCATCTACATATACAAATCTTGTTTCTGGGCATTTCCAAGTTAATATATCATTTTGCATGACTTCCTTTACAGCGAAGTTGTGATAATTTATTACAAGATGGAACAACTACCACAAATTTATGATGGTTAAATCCTGTACTAACTTACTCTTTGTAAGTCCACAACCCACTGCAAAGCATCTGTCGAAGTTTAGAGTCCCAATGTTCTGAGTTAGAAACACAAACATCCACATTCACACTCACAGCAATACACTGCTCCCAGTTAGTGCTGTCAGCATGGAGGCCTATTTCATCAAAATTATAAACCTTTCCATTTGTCGCCACAATTCCTACATGAAGATCATCTCCACTTTTATAATCCCTGCAAGGTGATTATTATATAAATAACAAGAATTTTTAATGTATCTACTCTTTTAAATTATTTTCATTCTGAGAACAATACCACCTTCAATTTGGCTCTTGGACAAACTGGAATTCTGGGATGAGATGAACAACATACTGAACAAGTTAGACAAGTGGTAAATGGCTACTGAAACAAACAGCTTAGGTTCTGAATAAAAATTCCCAGGGAAGGGGGATGTGATCTCATTATTTCCACAGGGGCTTTGGATTTGCCATCAAGTGGTGAACTGCCACTAAAACTAACAGCTTAGGTTATGAATAAAAATTCTCAGGGAAGGGAGATTTAATCCCAGGGGCTTTGTAATTTGCCATCATTTTTTAGATTCCCTTATCTGTCCTGGGTCTGGGAAGCGGGGGGGATGGGGGGAGATTTTTTTTCCATAGTACATTTCAATCTGGATCGTACATGTACTCTCTTAGCTTCTACCAATGTTAAAATCTGCAGGTTCTGGTTCTGTTTTCTAAAGTAATAACAGGTCCTAGTCCCTACCTCAAGAACGAGCCCTTCGTCGGCTTCACCAAAAGCACGCCAGAAACATTATTCTGTGCAACAAATGGACTTGGAATACGAAATGGGGGTATTATCAAAGAACAGCTTTTCAGCGACTGGCCACACAAAGGACACATCTCGGGAAACTTTGTGAAGAAAATATTCATTTGATTACTACAATGCTGCATGCAGAGGACTGCCTCTTCCGTAACTCCACTCATGATGCGATAAAACTGTAGTTAGCCACAAGTTGCTACGTGTAGATGTTCATCCGCCATGTTGGCCTCCATGTTATTTAAAAATTTCCTCCCCAGTGCCTTCTCGGTTTGGAACCCGAGTACTTTCCGAAGAACCCCGAAGAGAGTCGACTGATAGCGAAGAGTACCGTGTCATAACTTGATAACCAAAGTTTTGAACACCCTGCAAGCAGAGCCTTTTCTTACGGTACATATGCTATTTTCCGTCTCCTATCCGCTCAAAAAAGCGATAAAAGAGGCTCTGCTCGCAGGGTGAGTTTTGAATAACTTTTAAAATTTAGAATTCTCAAACGGCGCCGGGCGTATCTGATTTCGTAAATGAGTTAAAATCTCAGATACAGGAAATAAACAATGGACTTTCAAGACAAGTGAGAGGGTAGATCGGATGTTTTTGAGTGATGGATTCACTTTACCAAGCCTCAGAAAGCGACCAATGTTTGCCTTTGGTCCACTTCGGCAACATAAAGCTAAAAGCGAAAAAGAAAACCGACATTTTACTTATTAATAAGGTTGTTTTTGAAGACGGCGATTCAGTGGAAGCCAAGCGCTGAAGTGGCTATTTTCATTGGCGTGTAGTCCATGCCGAACCGGCCGAAAAACTTCTTTTTGCTTTCAATAGAATAATTTTCTCTTTCACCCCCTTTACCGTAAACGCTGATTTGTCTCTCAAATATGAATCCTAACCAAGCTTCAGTTGAAAATCTATTTAGCATTGGTCCAGAAAACTAAACCGCGTCGATTCAATTAACTTCCTAAAACTAATTAACTTTTTAAATTAGATCTGTTGTCGGCATTTAATGATTCCTTACGAGACAGTTTCACAATGCAAACAACGGCGGTGTCAAGAGCAACATGGAAAGCAAACATGTTACAATATAGGCATTTATTGTAAAGGGATTTATCATTTACTTGATAACATTATCTTGGTCTGTCCTTACTCATTTCCAAACCGGACATCGCGTTTGGTTCCTGTCCTACTAGGAAATGTGAGGCCCCATAGGGAGTTATTGTCTTCAATTGGCTTTCACCAAACAAACTGTACAGCTCTTGAAGAACTCGGTACTCGACTAGCTCACACTGACTGAGAGATTTTTAATATGGTTGCGATGTCGCCAGCATCAACACTTTTCACTTCAGCGTCTAATTTTTCGTCGAACGCAACGACGAGCACTCCGTCGGCTGCCCCATTTGAAGTCAATCCCAGTTTGGGACTTGTTGTGGAGGTCGTGATTATACTCCTGATCTGTGGACATTTTCTTATCATCACAACACTCGGTCTATACAAACCGTGGAATATCGCCGACTTGCTGTTATTTTCGCTCTCGGTGGCCGATGCCGTAAACGCGGCGATCCCACTTCAGATGTTAAACTTATTGAATAACTTTATCGGACCGCATTTATGGACTCGAGCGTCCTGCGCCGTGTTTGTTATATTGACCTACACATTCCGTATTGCCTCTGTGTGCACAATAACTCTGATATCAGGCGATCGAGCGATTCTGTTGACGCGCCCACTACAGCATCATATCATTGTTACAACAGGGCGGGCGAGGCTGGCTGTCGTCGCGATTTGGCTGTTTTCTATTTTCATGTCGATATTGCCTTTTATTGGGGTTGGAAAACCAGGCTATCGGGACGGCTTCTGCTTTTATCAATTGTTTGATTTTGGAGTGGCGTATGGCTATATCATCGAAAGTATTGGTATCCTCCAGCTAATTATTGTATTGGTCTGCTTCATTGCAATCAAGTTATCAAGCTGGAAGTTTGTGAAGCGCCAGTCAACGATGGCAGCCGCTAGACAAACTGGCGGGAAAAGTCAGCAAGCGCGGGAAACGGCTGGCACACGGCAAGTGAAGCAGATGTCAACCATGACGGCGATCGTGGTGATGCTGTACTACATCAGTTGGTTGCCTTATTTGGTGAGTCTACCGTGCGTGTGTGCGAGTTTTTTGCGTTTGGCAGTGCGCGTTTTCGTTCGGAAAAGTAAAACAACCGGGTCGCAATTGATTTCCTAACTTACGACGCCAAAATATGTTGAAAAGCGTTGAAAACATCCAAAAACATTTGACTAAAATCTAGTCTGACATTTTGAAAGCCTTCTCTTTTGTTTTCGCACATTATTGAATATTTTCGTGTTAATTTCAGCGGTTAGGCCATTTAATAAAGCTATGCACACAAAATAGACATTTCTTTTTCTCGAGATGATTACTTTTTCATCGATAAAATTAGTTCACCTGAACAATATTTAGAAAGAAATTTGCTTGTATATGTTCAGTTTTATTCCCTTGTTTATCGTTTTTACGCTATTTCATCAACAATAGAGGGGATTATGACTTTTAATGCATTACTGAAACATTAGTAATCGATACCTGTAATTATACCACCTTTTAGTCAATGCTTGTGATTGAATTGCAGTTTAATCTTCTCTAATTTATGTATTTTTCAAAACTTTGCATATACTTCACTTAGTAAACCGACGAGTGAAAGAAATGATATTTCTCGGGATTACTATTGATATGCACGACGAAGACAGCACAATTTTGCAGAATTGAAGTTTATATCTTGGAATTTAAACTGAACAAACACAACTCCAGTTCAGTTATCCAATTATTCAAGATAATAATATACCTCTTTATCCATAGTATTCTGCATGAAATAATTTAACTTCCATCCGCTAACAAATATTTGCATTTCCCAGGACAACCCGTCACCGCTCAGTCGTCCATCTTGAATTCTCTTGATTTCGGTAGTTCATGTTCTTAAACACACTGCGTTGTTTTAAATACTACCTCAAGCAGGTTTATCCAGACCCTTCTTTCTCTCAGCCATTGTCAGTATACTTCATAAGACAATACAAGGATTATCAAGCTTGAGCTCTCTCTATCTCTTGCAGTATATTAAATTTATTTGCACTTCTGGACTTTTTTTTCGGTCTATTTGACCCAAACTGATCACCAGAAAATGCACAGCTCAAGAGCCTCCCTTTTCTGCCGAACTTTTTAGCGCTTAAAACTTGCAAACAGCGTAATATAGTATTACTTAACGGCCGAATTCAATTCCGTTTACACCTTATGGAAAAGATCTGATAAACAATTAGCTACACGCGAGCAAAGTCGAGAGTCTTCTTGTAACTAAAAAACACCGACAACTGATTCCTCCAAAGATTGTTAACTCAGCGACAGAGCATATTTTCCAAACAATGTTTTTCACTGTTTAATAAAAATTAACTGGCTAACACGGTTCAATCTATATTCCGACATCATTTTAGGTGAAATGTTTGCTTAAATTGTGGCATATGTCTTGAAAGAACTGAGTTGAAAACCAATAAGCGTTTACCGATTGCCTCATTGAAAGGGTTCTCATTCAAACTGAAGCAACAAATGTCTGTTATGCAATTAAACACGTCTCTTCGTGATCACGTAGTTGCACTGATAGCGTCAGAATACTGACTTTCTAATAATTACTCTATCTGGATTTTTCTCTCACCGTGGCAACCGTAGATTGACGAAACTGATTCAGTGCAGACCTAGTGCTTGCAAGGAATTTCCTTTTCGATTCAGCGTCCTGGCATCCCAGAGGATGGCGTGCGGTGTGACTGAGGAGTGGCTGTGCTCAGATTTCGATCAATCAGCTGTTCAAGGAAAGACCTGTATCGCAACTGATTTGTCTCTCAGAGCGGCTCTCGAAACACTTAAGCTTAACTAAACATGATGATGGAAAGGATAAAAGATTGTCATGACAACTCCTGCCATACCGGTCCACCTACAGTTTACGATAACCATGGCAACGATGACTCGTGAAAGACAATCCATAGCAATAGTGACGACGATGACAATAACGGTGACAAAGAGAATTTTGTCTACCTAGCCCTGTCCAAAACATGACACTTAATAAGGGAGTCTAGATCGGAAAACAGACAAGTGACAGTGTCTCGAGATTTGACAAATCCAGTGTCTCAATTACCTCAACCTCCTTAGCGACAGCGGAGGAACGACCAAAATTTTTACTGATATGTGATTTAACTACCCTTATCCTGACTTGCTTATTAGTTCTCACTGACAGATAACATTTCTATCTTTTTATTCCAGTTAATTAACCTTTACAGTATGGTGACTGGACAAATCAACCATTCACTGGTGATCATCATTGGTTTCTTCTCGCTTGTGAACGCTCTCATCAACCCGATCTTGTATGGAAAAATGAGCCTGAGATACCGCCAAGGATATGTGTACATCTTCAAGAAAATCTTGTCTCTGTGCGGGGCACAAAAACCCGATGGTTCATTTTTTGGTAAGGTTGTTAACCTACTTAGAGCTTGTAATCACAGCCGCCATATTGATCTTCCAAAACAATGAAACGGCGGCCATGTCAGTGTACCAAACCAATCTCGTGGGAGTTGAACTCTTTTCCTGTGTAAACAATTTCTTTTGTTCCAATACATTTGCACGGCTGCTAATAACGTGAGTGAAAACTTTCTATAAGTCTTTCACTATCAAAGCCAAAGACAATACATTGACCATTTAAGTCGAAAAACAAACAACATCAAATAAAAGTGCATCTAACCCTAAATCTAAACCCAGTAGCTTTCATTTGAATGGTCACACACTAGGGTTTCATCCGTGGACGAAAATTCAGAACCAACCTGCAGAGCGTAGTAAAAGCGTTGAAATATTTGCATGATAACCTAAAAGGAAGTTTCTTGGATTATTTTGTTGCCGTTTGTTTGTTTTTCATGCAAAGCTCTTCTACATAAAAGCGTTAAGAAAATGCTGGGGTGTGAAGGGTAAGAGCTAATTTCCCATATAGGCCACATTCTCATCCACCTCAGGTTATTTTTAGATATGGCTTCCAGTTTTCTCATAGATTTTTACTATGCGCGTTGTGTAAATGTTTTCGTTCTAGATTCCTGGAATTTCTGAAGCCGAGAGAGATCTTAAAATAACTTGNTGTCCTTTCAAAATTTCACAGTGACCAACAGTTACCCTTTATTGAACCATTGCTTCTCCTTGAGAATTTACTTTGCTGCCAACTGTTCAATTTTCTGGACAACCTTTCCGCCTCAGGCTTTATCCTCTAACAAATCAGCCGCGCCTTCCTAAAGGGATTCATCTGCTATGTATCCACTACTACTGAAGAGTTTTTTCACTATTTCATCTTTTCTCAAAAGTTGCATTCCCATCATCATCATCATCATCACCATCGTCATTGCCATCGCCATTGTCATCGTCATCGTCGTCGTCGTCATCGTCGTCGTCATCATCATTGTCATCGTCATTATTGTCGCCATCGCGATCACTGTCGTCATCATCATTTTCATCAGTGTGATCATCTACATATACAAATCTTGTTTCTGGGCATTTCCAAGTTAATATATCATTTTGCATGACTTCCTTTACAGCGAAGTTGTGATAATTTATTACAAGATGGAACAACTACCACAAATTTATGATGGTTAAATCCTGTACTAACTTACTCTTTGTAAGTCCACAACCCACTGCAAAGCATCTGTCGAAGTTTAGAGTCCCAATGTTCTGAGTTAGAAACACAAACATCCACATTCACACTCACAGCAATACACTGCTCCCAGTTAGTGCTGTCAGCATGGAGGCCTATTTCATCAAAATTATAAACCTTTCCATTTGTCGCCACAATTCCTACATGAAGATCATCTCCACTTTTATAATCCCTGCAAGGTGATTATTACATAAATAACAAGAATTTTTAATGTATCTACTCTTTTAAATTATTTTCATTCTGAGAACAATACCACCTTCAATTTGGCTCTTGGACAAACTGGAATTCTGGGATGAGATGAACAACATACTGAACAAGTTAGACAAGTGGTAAATGGCTACTGAAACAAACAGCTTAGGTTCTGAATAAAAATTCCCAGGGAAGGGGGATGTGATCTCATTATTTCCACAGGGGCTTTGGATTTGCCATCAAGTGGTGAACTGCCACTAAAACTAACAGCTTAGGTTATGAATAAAAATTCTCAGGGAAGGGAGATTTAATCCCAGGGGCTTTGTAATTTGCCATCATTTTTTAGATTCCCTTATTTGTCCTGGGTCTGGGAAGCGGGGGGGATGGGGGGAGATTTTTTTTCCATAGTACATTTCAATCTGGATCGTACATGTACTCTCTTAGCTTCTACCAATGTTAAAATCTGCAGGTTCTGGTTCTGTTTTCTAAAGTAATAACAGGTCCTAGTCCCTACCTCAAGAACGAGCCCTTCGTCGGCTTCACCAAAAGCACGCCAGAAACATTATTCTGTGCAACAAACGGACTTGGAATACGAAATGGGGGTATTATCAAAGAACAGCTTTTCAGCGACTGGCCACACAAAGGACACATCTCGGGAAACTTTGTGAAGAAAATATTCATTTGATTACTACAATGCTGCATGCAGAGGACTGCCTCTTCCGTAACTCCACTCATGATGCGATAAAACTGTAGTTAGCCACAAGTTGCTACGTGTAGATGTTCATCCGCCATGTTGGCCTCCATGTTATTTAAAAATTTCCTCCCCAGTGCCTTCTCGGTTTGGAACCCGAGTACTTTCCGAAGAACCCCGAAGAGAGTCGACTGATAGCGAAGAGTACCGTGTCATAACTTGATAACCAAAGTTTTGAACACCCTGCAAGCAGAGCCTTTTCTTACGGTACATATGCTATTTTCCGTCTCCTATCCGCTCAAAAAAGCGATAAAAGAGGCTCTGCTCGCAGGGTGAGTTTTGAATAACTTTTAAAATTTAGAATTCTCAAACGGCGCCGGGCGTATCTGATTTCGTAAATGAGTTAAAATCTCAGATACAGGAAATAAACAATGGACTTTCAAGACAAGTGAGAGGGTAGATCGGATGTTTTTGAGTGATGGATTCACTTTACCAAGCCTCAGAAAGCGACCAATGTTTGCCTTTGGTCCACTTCGGCAACATAAAGCTAAAAGCGAAAAAGAAAACCGACATTTTACTTATTAATAAGGTTGTTTTTGAAGACGGCGATTCAGTGGAAGCCAAGCGCTGAAGTGGCTATTTTCATTGGCGTGTAGTCCATGCCGAACCGGCCGAAAAACTTCTTTTTGCTTTCAATAGAATAATTTTCTCTTTCACCCCCTTTACCGTAAACGCTGATTTGTCTCTCAAATATGAATCCTAACCAAGCTTCAGTTGAAAATCTATTTAGCATTGGTCCAGAAAACTAAACCGCGTCGATTCAATTAACTTCCTAAAACTAATTAACTTTTTAAATTAGATCTGTTGTCGGCATTTAATGATTCCTTACGAGACAGTTTCACAATGCAAACAACGGCGGTGTCAAGAGCAACATGGAAAGCAAACATGTTACAATATAGGCATTTATTGTAAAGGGATTTATCATTTACTTGATAACATTATCTTGGTCTGTCCTTACTCATTTCCAAACCGGACATCGCGTTTGGTTCCTGTCCTACTAGGAAATGTGAGGCCCCATAGGGAGTTATTGTCTTCAATTGGCTTTCACCAAACAAACTGTACAGCTCTTGAAGAACTCGGTACTCGACTAGCTCACACTGACTGAGAGATTTTTAATATGGTTGCGATGTCGCCAGCATCAACACTTTTCACTTCAGCGTCTAATTTTTCGTCGAACGCAACGACGAGCACTCCGTCGGCTGCCCCATTTGAAGTCAATCCCAGTTTGGGACTTGTTGTGGAGGTCGTGATTATACTCCTGATCTGTGGACATTTTTTTATCATCACAACACTCGGTCTATACAAACCGTGGAATATCGCCGACTTGCTGTTATTTTCGCTCTCGGTGGCCGATGCCGTAAACGCGGCGATCCCACTTCAGATGTTAAACTTATTGAATAACTTTATCGGACCGCATTTATGGACTCGAGCGTCCTGCGCCGTGTTTGTTATATTGACCTACACATTCCGTATTGCCTCTGTGTGCACAATAACTCTGATATCAGGCGATCGAGCGATTCTGTTGACGCGCCCACTACAGCATCATATCATTGTTACAACAGGGCGGGCGAGGCTGGCTGTCGTCGCGATTTGGCTGTTTTCTATTTTCATGTCGATATTGCCTTTTATTGGGGTTGGAAAACCAGGCTATCGGGACGGCTTCTGCTTTTATCAATTGTTTGATTTTGGAGTGGCGTATGGCTATATCATCGAAAGTATTGGTATCCTCCAGCTAATTATTGTATTGGTCTGCTTCATTGCAATCAAGTTATCAAGCTGGAAGTTTGTGAAGCGCCAGTCAACGATGGCAGCCGCTAGACAAACTGGCGGGAAAAGTCAGCAAGCGCGGGAAACGGCTGGCACACGGCAAGTGAAGCAGATGTCAACCATGACGGCGATCGTGGTGATGCTGTACTACATCAGTTGGTTGCCTTATTTGGTGAGTCTACCGTGCGTGTGTGCGAGTTTTTTGCGTTTGGCAGTGCGCGTTTTCGTTCGGAAAAGTAAAACAACCGGGTCGCAATTGATTTCCTAACTTACGACGCCAAAATATGTTGAAAAGCGTTGAAAACATCCAAAAACATTTGACTAAAATCTAGTCTGACATTTTGAAAGCCTTCTCTTTTGTTTTCGCACATTATTGAATATTTTCGTGTTAATTTCAGCGGTTAGGCCATTTAATAAAGCTATGCACACAAAATAGACATTTCTTTTTCTCGAGATGATTACTTTTTCATCGATAAAATTAGTTCACCTGAACAATATTTAGAAAGAAATTTGCTTGTATATGTTCAGTTTTATTCCCTTGTTTATCGTTTTTACGCTATTTCATCAACAATAGAGGGGATTATGACTTTTAATGCATTACTGAAACATTAGTAATCGATACCTGTAATTATACCACCTTTTAGTCAATGCTTGTGATTGAATTGCAGTTTAATCTTCTCTAATTTATGTATTTTTCAAAACTTTGCATATACTTCACTTAGTAAACCGACGAGTGAAAGAAATGATATTTCTCGGGATTACTATTGATATGCACGACGAAGACAGCACAATTTTGCAGAATTGAAGTTTATATCTTGGAATTTAAACTGAACAAACACAACTCCAGTTCAGTTATCCAATTATTCAAGATAATAATATACCTCTTTATCCATAGTATTCTGCATGAAATAATTTAACTTCCATCCGCTAACAAATATTTGCATTTCCCAGGACAACCCGTCACCGCTCAGTCGTCCATCTTGAATTCTCTTGATTTCGGTAGTTCATGTTCTTAAACACACTGCGTTGTTTTAAATACTACCTCAAGCAGGTTTATCCAGACCCTTCTTTCTCTCAGCCATTGTCAGTATACTTCATAAGACAATACAAGGATTATCAAGCTTGAGCTCTCTCTATCTCTTGCAGTATATTAAATTTATTTGCACTTCTGGACTTTTTTTTCGGTCTATTTGACCCAAACTGATCACCAGAAAATGCACAGCTCAAGAGCCTCCCTTTTCTGCCGAACTTTTTAGCGCTTAAAACTTGCAAACAGCGTAATATAGTATTACTTAACGGCCGAATTCAATTCCGTTTACACCTTATGGAAAAGATCTGATAAACAATTAGCTACACGCGAGCAAAGTCGAGAGTCTTCTTGTAACTAAAAAACACCGACAACTGATTCCTCCAAAGATTGTTAACTCAGCGACAGAGCATATTTTCCAAACAATGTTTTTCACTGTTTAATAAAAATTAACTGGCTAACACGGTTCAATCTATATTCCGACATCATTTTAGGTGAAATGTTTGCTTAAATTGTGGCATATGTCTTGAAAGAACTGAGTTGAAAACCAATAAGCGTTTACCGATTGCCTCATTGAAAGGGTTCTCATTCAAACTGAAGCAACAAATGTCTGTTATGCAATTAAACACGTCTCTTCGTGATCACGTAGTTGCACTGATAGCGTCAGAATACTGACTTTCTAATAATTACTCTATCTGGATTTTTCTCTCACCGTGGCAACCGTAGATTGACGAAACTGATTCAGTGCAGACCTAGTGCTTGCAAGGAATTTCCTTTTCGATTCAGCGTCCTGGCATCCCAGAGGATGGCGTGCGGTGTGACTGAG